TTTAATATATCGCAATAACGAAATTGACTCGGCAAATACATTATTCACGTTACTGGTTCATGCATATAGATCACAGTCACGGCGTCACGTGAAGACAAAACTATTACTGTTACTCACGGGCGCTCGGACCGTTTAACGGTTAAGACGGGAGTAGGGAATGTCGTTGAAAGGATAAATACAAATACGAAAATTACTGACATGAAAGCCATAGGTTTATCAGAGACTCGCAAAAACATTGCCTGGCCGTAACATATTAACTCATAATGCAATAGTTAGATCGTTCTGACTGTATCAGTATAAAGTCGAAACAACATGCACGGATTGCACGTAACTGATGCTGATGGTTTATATTGCATCGAATGCGACTCGTTAACATGATCGGTGACTGCCGCCTCACCATCAAAGTTGAAATCCAAATTATCTCAAATGAATTACATACATCAATCGTGATTGCTCACAAATAATAATTAAGTTTTTGTAAAAGTGACTAAAACTCACCTCAAATTCGGAATCCTCGATTGATTACTTTCAGCCATCGTGAAATAGTCTGGAACGATGAGTCTGGCGCATGTGCAAAGTCAGACAGCTATTTTTGTAAGCCGCACTATGATTGGTCGACAAAACTCGTCGAAAAATGATCTCGTTGTACGAGATTTGTATAGGCATTGAGCCAATCTCCCCAGGCAGAGTTCTAACCGCAAGGAATTCTGGGAAGAAGAATGGCATTGAGTCAGATGTAGTTAGAGGCGAGTGGGACACAATTTTCTAAGAACTGATTAACGGCAAGAAAAATAAAAAAAATCGACATATTCAAACTAAAATACAAATAAATATAATATAAAGGGTTATATAAATATAAAAAAATGGAGCCTCATACCTACATCGGATTTTAATCAGATTGGGCACGAGGATTTCAGCTAATTTATTCTCATTTTTTGCTCTGATCGTTTTAATTACAGGGCCAGTGTGGATCTTGTTGGGCTTTTAGCACTGTAAGTTGAACACATTTATTCCCCAATGTACTAGTATATATCGGTTTACATACTTCTAAGTCTTATCTCCTTCCAACGCATACACTTATATCAAAACTGTGAACGTGCATGGAAGTTAGTAATTGGTATGACATTATTCTACAGTACACTTCTCTAGAATTACGTATTGAGAATTTCAAAACTTTTTGAAAATAGAGATATTTATATTACATGTAAACCTTGCCTCTCCAGACTGGTTCCCTTGAAGGCCAGACTTTCAAGAAAACAGGCAAGCTGCCGGATCTCAGTGAGCAACAACTGGTAGATTGTTCGACACAATTCGGTAACCATGGCTGTAATGGTGGTCTTATGGATCTCGCATTTGAGTACATCAAAGCTGCTCCAGGCATCGAAGGTGAAATGGACTACCCGTATTTGGCAAAGGTATTTTATCGTTCAATAATCTGTGGTTACCTTCGTGTATAATATGAGGATTTTCTTCAAGCATACGATGTATATACCTCAAATCGTTCTAATATATTAAACGCTTTAGAATTAAACACAGGCCAAGATGTATTCACTGCCGCGAGTCGCGAGAGTTGACTGTAAACGTGATTTCAATGTTGTGTTTTGTCTTTCATCATCCACAGGACGGTCGTTGTATGTTCGATCAGAGCAAAGTGGTTGCCACGGATACTGGATATGTTGATATTCCATCTATGGACGAGAACGCCCTGAAAGAAGCCGTAGCAACCATCGGCCCAATCTCAGTGGCTATCGACGCTGGTCATCCATCATTCCAAATGTACAAATCAGGTAAACTCACAAAGCCCAGCAACAGTAATTAAATTGTAGGTCAATAATACTAAAAGGGTCAAAAGTAAAATAATTGTGTTTACAGATGTTCAATATTGTTTGTGGTTTTCAAGATATTCAACATTTATAGACTGCAGTATCTGAGGTACTCGTGTCCTGTCGATTAAAGTCAGCCATATTAAACTGAATAGCTTCCTCTCCATTTCGATAATCTGTATTTTTTTTAACTGAAACTCCGCAGGTGTGTACAACGAGCCGGGATGTAGCTCAGAACGTCTAGATCACGGTGTATTAGCAGTTGGCTACGGTACAGAAGACGGACAAGATTATTGGCTAGTTAAAAACAGGTGAGTTAGTATACCAATCACGCATGCGTCATGAAGATTATTCATTGAAGCGCTTTGGCGGCTCCTCGTTTATTTTCGCTGCTACCAAACACGAAATATTGCGATAGTGTATGAAGTATGTGCAATCAATCTCACTCAAAAATGTTGTATGTACAAGTTGTATAATGAAAACATGAACGGTTATAACCGTGATAGTGGTTTCATTGATTCCCCATATTGAAAGTGCGTCATCTAGCGATAAACACCGCCGACATTACATATACTCCGTTACATTATCATTCCAGTTGGGGCGATTCCTGGGGCCAAGCTGGTTACATCATGATGTCACGTAATATGAACAACCAATGCGGCATTGCTACACAGGCGAGCTATCCACTGGTTTAGAAACGGTCTTAACGGATGCTACCTCACAGGTGAGCTAGTTGGAAATGACATCGTTTAATTGCAGCCTGAGAAATAACTTGAAGATAAACACGTTCTACAAGACGGTCACACCAACACGCTCAGTGCATAACGCACAAATATATGCTTACTGTGTTGGTTTCTTGGTTGTTGTTATTGGTGTTTTATTTCTTTTGGGACACACTTAGTCTTTCTGGAAAAATCATAATCTATACCCCACCTAAAAACTGCACAGCTTCTTATGATTATCACCCAGTAACCTAAAGAAAGGCTCAAGCCCTCTATAATTAACATGCAGAGGTTTTCTGTCTTAGTGGTTAAGATATAAAGTACATTGTTTGTGGAATGTAGCCACCTAAATACCTGTACTCCTGTTGTCATGTAACGCCCTCTATAAACAAGGAAACATTTCCGTGACGTACACATCGTTGTCTTAGTTTTCCTTTTTGTCGCTAGAGGGCGCTACTTATAGTTAGGAGCTCTGTGTTCTCTATAACAAAACGAAGACAGCCTAACCGTCCAAAATTAAAGATGTCGTGGCACCAATCCCCCCATCCACCCTCTTGTTTGAAGGAAACGTAATCGCTGTAGTGTCTCATATTGTATAGTTGATTACACCTTGAAAATATAACTGTAAAATGAGTATCTGTTTATTCGCCATGATCGCTAATTCAATAACACCCCGCGAAAGCTGTGAGTTCAGTTCAGTCGGTCACACCTATCTAACATATTTGTTCTATGTTAATGTTTCAGGTAGTCTGCGTTGTCAAATAAAAGCCGTCCCGGTGACCCGTATTACCGCGATGACATCTTTCACTTTGCTTTTATAAATACTGAATTTTGTGTTTTTATTACTTGAAATGTTTTTTGTTTTTTTCGAGAACAATTTATTGTGCGGAAATTGACAGGAAGGACGTTGTTAAGTTTATGTTTAATTAAATAAACATTGTGAATTTCTACATGTGTAAACATGTGCCTAATTTTCGGTCACAGAGTGTTAGATGATAGTTGCAGATAGCATATACCTTATACATATCTATGTAATGCTGACATACCCTGGACATCATCACACTTGCTTATTCATTTGATGCCACAACGGCAAACTTTTGATTCAATATTTCATGAAATAATAATAATAAGCTTAATCTGCATGTAATATTTACATATAATACGCATGAATTATAATTCACGAATATCATGCCAGCCTGAGAACCCAGCGTAAATAACTTGATGAATCTCAGGCTCCTTGCGCATATTGTGATTATCCCACTCCGTTACGGTGAATTAAGTGACTGACTAGGCTGAACGATACATCCTATATAGAAAATATGGATTCATATGAAAACGATGTGTTTTCATTTTTATAATTCTCATTTGTTTACTGTAACATTGCAATATACTGAATAAAACATAACTGAGGAATGTGACACTGTAGTGTGCTTTTTTACTCTCAAGGTTACATGTCTCCGGCTTCTATGATAAAACTCGGACTACTCTATAGTAGTCTTAGGATAAAACCATACTGCAGCTTGGAATTGGTAATAATGCGAGTTTATTACGAGGATACCGAAAAGTATGCACTCCCCGCGACGGCGTACTGTCTTAGCGCATATTTTGAGGTATCTTCGTAATAACCTTGTTATTATACATCTTTTCCTTCTAAGAATGCATCTTGGGAATACTGTGAGGTTATTACGAGGAAGCCGAAAAGTATGCACTCTCCGCGACGGCGTACTGTCTGAGTGCATACTTTGTGATATCCTCGTAATGACCTTGTTATTATACATCTTTTCCTTCTAAGGATACATCGTGGGAATCCTGATCTACAAAAAGTTTCAAAGAGATTTACTAGTAATTAACTTCTTTCCGTCGGGTCAAACCCTTGGGGCTGTCATGTTTGTTTTTATCATTAGAGAACGCTTATGCGCGTAATCATGGTGAACTGAGCATTCGTTCAATGAAACAATGACATTACCTGTATGTAATACGCATGCGTCACGGTATTGGGGAAAGTTTTCCATTTTATACAATGGTAAGTTCACTTCCATAAAGAATTGCATGACAATGTGTAGTTAAATGCTCAATATTAAAAAGTTGAAATTAGAATTTGGCTGTAACCTTAAATTTGTCTAATATTTAGCCCTATACTACATACACACAAAAAACTCGATAGCATTTCTCTACCTTTCAAAGTTTAGCGGTAAACTACCGTCTTCGCGTGTTGTTGAACAGTTAATGAGTGACTTGGAGTATACCATGTGATTATTGGTATCCATGTTGGACAAGACAGTCCATTGTTTAGTACTCGACCTTTGTTATGTTACGTTGGGTATTTTTTTTTTTTTTTGCTTCAGTTACAATAGATTAGCTAACTTTGTTGTCTATCACCGTTGTTGTAATGTTACACGCTTATTCCCATAGCAGCAACTGTGTTTTGCCTTGTACTCATTTACATATACAGTGTTTTTTTATTTATATCATTAAATTTAGCTGTGTTCTCGTCGCCATGGCGACAAACCACATGTTTGCAGTGATTTGTTTTCATCTTGCATGTATTTTTTTGTTTTCAAGTTAATTTTCACTACGCTTTAGGTGACATTCGATCATTACTTTATGGGTACAGATTTTCAACTTGTATTCCTCAGGGGAACGACGTGTCGTAACGGGCCGCGCGTCTGCTTACAGTGGCGAGGTGCATTCGCATATGGACGTCTTTAGTATGTCCATGTTGTGAGTTCGAATTTCGTGTTACGAATGTTTATATGTTCATAAATATGCATGTGATTTCGATAAATTGTACAGATTCTCAATTATATATCTGTATACTAGTATTGCTTTCAAAAGAAGCAAAATGGATTTTTTTCTATGTCAATACTATATTGTCGACTGGCATGCACCAGTGGCCTCTCCCAGCAACCCTAATCTTACTATGTGCATTGAATATAGGAGTTTAGACTGAGAAAAAAATATATCTCTGTTTCTCGTTTCCGCGCGCATAATTTTGAACTATACGCCTCGGACATTTTTTTTCCTTCTAAAGCATTCTTAAATGTAATTGTACTCGCACTTGTCCCAAATTTCCCCCATTTTAGCTAAGTATTGAAAACAAAAATTCCATGAAACGAAAAACAGAGAATTTTTTTCCTGGCCTTATTGAAGACGTGTTGTTACGCGCAATCCTACATTGTATTGCGTTGCAATTAGCGCTCTCTTTATATACAAACACTGAAACAAGTAAATACGGATGGGTGTGTTTTACATCGGCAAGGCCCAGCTATGGGAGTGTCCTCTCTACGACGCCACCAACGACCTGGGAGAGACATGGTTCAACCGCCTCGACCAATAAACACACAACGCTATAAACAATGTTGTAATGTTGTCAAAGGACCGATAAATACGTCATGCATTAGAAATAAATATATTTTTATTGCAGTTTCATGGTCATTTTTTTTACAATTGTATTAAATATCCCGGATGTACGACAATGCTATGTCTATTTATGATTGTCATCGGACCTTGTAACCGCCTCCAGTTAGTTACAGTGGTATGTCTATATTCTTCTGCCTCTACAAACGTAAAATATAATAATGCTAAATGTACGCTAAACAAAAAATAGCACTCGTCCTAAGCACAGTCCTTCCTAAGATACTATGTAGCATGTGAAAATACAGGTGCACCATTTTTAACAACGGGTGTGGCTGGAAAATTCGAAAAAAAACACCAACAACAACGCTTCCTAGGTAAGTTATTAGTAAAGTGTCACATACACCAGACAGTCATTGCATAATGGACGCAAAACATCATCATGAGGTCGATGAACATAAACGCCCTCCTATATAATTCGATCGGATACGCAGTTAGCGACAGTATGCCTGTTGAACCGACATCTGACAGCTACACTTTCATTGTCAGCGCAATGTCTGTCAACTTTCAGAGACTCGTGACAAGTTTGACCTTCAGACTTGCAAATCTCGTGATTTCTCACATGACCAGGGAAGTACCAACAACCTTCGGTATTCAAATCGTACCTTTACATTTGAAAGAGGCGCCCACTGCTGCTGCACTGTCGTTCATAAGCCAGCTTTCACCACTAATACTGGTAAGTATATGACATCATTTCTAGGAATTAAATTTCTAGTTTACAGTTGTCGGTGTTTCATAAACTTCTAAAATTACCTAAAATCTACCTGACAAAATTGCGTAGTTACCCGACGATTGAGTGAACTAATCGGGATTAATCTGAATATTTCCAAATTATTATTTATTCACTGTAAACGTCATCGTGTCTTAACGTATCTAGTTTTTGTTATATTTTGAGTTATTTCGACATGCATTGACTTAATCTTATCTGTCAGGTGAGTTAGTGAGTGAATGGGAGAGAGTGTAAGTTAGAGACTGGCTTCGAATCAGATACCAGGTAGTTCACATGTTTCTATCTGAACTAGTTGACCTGGAGTGTATCCCCGGGGAAAGTTGAATGTATCATAGACTTAAATAGACAGAGAGGCGTACTACTATTCATTGTTCTGTGGTCTTGCTTGAATGAGCCCGTATCGTATCGACATAGGCTGGATTTTACGCATACCGCTATAGTATAGGGAATATGGATATAACCGATAATGTAATAGCTAATTCACATTTTTGTGAGAACAAAAAAGGCAATTTTCTGGGAGGAAGTGAAAGAAACAACTCATTCTTCTAAACAGTGCCGCTTCAATCTATGACATTGTCTTGATCTCAGTCTACCGGAGCATAAAGTTAAATGGAGGCGTCTATGGCTATGTTGCGAATTCCTAAAAACATGGTTGCATTATGTACCCCCCTTCGAGGAGAGGGTAGGGGATTGGCTAGATTGAGCAGTCCATGCATGTTTGCGCCGAATTTACAAATAGTATTTGAACTGTATTACCGACATTCTGCAAATTTGAAAAGGGGCGTGGGTGGAAATTATCGATCATTTCATGACTATGGAAAGTCACACTGTTTTTAATTTCACGTTTCTGAAGTAGGTCAAGGGTCAAACTTTGCGAATATTCTGACCATGAGGATTGTCGTAGGAAGCGGACTCTGAAAAGAAACATGTGGAAATCAGATTGTGGAAAGTCTTCCGGTGATCATGTTGAAACTTTCTTTTAACAGCGTAATATTACCACCCCTGCAACAAATCTCAACTGTGCACAATGAAAATGTTCATCAGCCTCGCACTTGTTGCCATGGCAGCAGCGACTTCCGTCAATACGGAATGGGAGAGCTGGAAAAGAACATATGGTGAGTCTTTGGGCAATTTCCTTTTGTTTTATATTGATGATAATTCTTTTTTATGTATTTCGATCAAGGCCATATTGTCACGGTGGAATGAAAGGTGAGTCGCATGACGTCAATGCCAGTCATCTGAGTGCTATTATGACAGGATTTGGAAAGTCATTACAACTCTTTCAAAACTTGGAAATTACTTTGTTGTTGTTATTTTTCATATTTAACCTCGTTTTACTTTCAAACATTTTTTTGATTTATTTCATACAAGAAAAGTCTAAACCTGGCAATCAGACACCGAGTCGGTCTTATTATAGTACCCCATATCGGAATCATGAGGTCACCTAGGGTCATGGCTATAATAGTGCTATAAACCGTGTCCGTATCTTTTTCCGTTTTTACGATGTCACGCTTATGGCAGGATGATTAGTTTAGATCTCAATAAATCAATCACACAGTGTATCCTTGAACGGTCCGGTTAATCTCTCCTTGAACGGTCCGGGTAATCTCTAAGTGCGGAAGCACCTGTCAGTGGTTGTGGTGGTGGTGGTACGGTGGTATCGACGGTGGATGTAGCATTACGCACATAAATGAATGTTCTTTTCCGAATGGTGACGTGAAATTTGTTGGTCCAGTTTGGTGCATTTAGTCTCATATTCTCTTTTCAGCGAAAACTTATCTTTCAGTAACGACTATTATGTTTGTGTTTAGTTGTGTTGTATACAACAATTTTGTATTCCACTCTAACTCTGTGTGGATATTTTCCGCACACAATTCAGGTAACACCGTGTTGCTGTTATGATGCTTGCACATGAAAATATGTTTATTGTCGCAGTAGTAATGTTGCGGTGTTGAACAATGCCATAATGATTGTGTCTGTATATGTGATTTTAATTAATATATATATATATTAGGTAAAGAGTACACCCAAAAAGAGGAGGCACTACGCCACATGATCTGGAATGTAAATTTAAAAATGATACAGATGCACAATGAGAAATACATGAGCGGAAAGTCGACGTACACCCAAAACATGAATCAGTTTGGTGACTTGGTGAGTACACGTTGCGCAATCACTTACGAGCATGACGTCATAACCCATGCCCAAATAAGGAAATACGTAGTCTGTATTTGGGTATATTGCGTTGCTGACGGCCATTTGAATGGAAGTTTCTGTAAAACGGTCAACATGATTGTAACACTAAGTTTAAATTACATTTCTTTATTAGACAAACGAAGAATATAGAGAGTTGATGTGCGGATATAAGAAAAGCAACAAGACCGTAATTTCCAAACCATCCACTTTTCTTCTTCCAAGTAACTATAGAGCACCGGCCAGCATTGATTGGAGAACACAGGGTTATGTCACAGATGTGAAAGATCAGGTGAGATATTCAATGATTCACTTTTCAATTCATTTTGTTACTATCACATCATGATCAACACGGTTTCGGGCTACTATGATGACTATGAATCTCCTCCATAAAACACACAAATATATAGATATATATATATATAAGGGGTCTAACCTGTATTCGTGGCCGGGACTATAATCCGACACACTAACATGCTAGAAACTTATGTTAATACGAGCTGCTAGGGACACAACGGGATACAGTTGATAAGTAACCCCCTCCTAGCATCACATAAACAATCGGCCCAATGTCCAACATTTGGTTATTGTGTGAAAGATATTACACAGGAAAGAATGAGTCGTTTACCGTGATACGTTAACTCGCAACCACGTGACAGTAAAAGAGACACATGATTTGGTTACTCATATCATAAATTATGTCTACGGTGTCGTTCTTTCTTATACCGAAGTACATTGCATTGACATGACATATTAATAATGTATACCATATTGATTCATTTCTTGGTTTTTAGGGAGCTTGTGGATCATGTTGGGCGTTTAGTTCGGTAAGCATAACGGTTAATTATGATACTTCCCAATGTTTTATTAAATTGTATTCTCCACGTCTTCAGATAGTGAGAGACATTTGCGCAATGTGTATGTACTTTATTTATATGAGGCATATTTTTGTAGTAATTAGCTAAAGAAATTAATACTGTTCAAAATTCCTACTATTAAATTTGTATTGAGACTTCAAAAATCTGTGACAGAGGTACTATCTCACTGACCAATATATACATTATCACAATTAAATTTGAGATTGTAGATTTGTAAACACGGCCAGTATTATTATTAGCAAAACAACATCATTTTATATTTTTAGCTTGTTATGAAAAAAGATGTTTCACATATTTGCAAACTGTGAATGCAACTGTTAGCATCAGATTTGTGTGTTATATTATTTCAGACCGGTTCCCTTGAAGGTCAGACTTTCAAGAAAACTGGAAAACTAGTGCCTCTTAGCGAGCAACAGTTGGTAGATTGTTCCGGTGACTATGGCAACATGGGATGCGGAGGAGGATGGATGGATCAGGCGTTCTCGTACATCAAAGATAAAGGAGAAGAGTCCGAGGACGGTTATCCTTACACTGGAACGGTAAGTACACATTGACAGTGTGTAGATTCATGTACGTGATATGGCTATGGCCTCCACAATCCGTCCCGTTGTTGCCGTCGATATACTGTAAATTAATTACTGTTTGATATTAATTAATTAAAGTTTAAGATTAATTTTGGGAAATTTACACACCACGAATATATTCATTATGTTATTACTACTTCAGGATGATACCTGTGTGTATGACGCCAGCAAAGTGGTTGCCACCGATACGGGTTACACTGATATCCCTGAAATGGACGAGAACGCTCTGCAACAGGCCGTTGCTACCGTTGGTCCCATCTCAGTTGCTATCGATGCTACCCACTCCTCTTTCCAGTTCTATGAATCAGGTGAGTAGGTATTTAAATGATATCGTGTCTACTGCGTATAATTAGGCGGTGGAAGTTGTGAAACCATGTTTACAATCGAAAGCATGAACTGACATTTGTTTTTTCAACTGAAATTTGATAAAGATCGTCCGTTCAAACTGCACCAAATTCGAATTTTATTTTGGTTTATTGACTACCCTAGACCGGACATCGATTATCAATATTGGTTTTGCTGTTTTTGTATTATCGCAAGTATATGTGCAGCGATTTGCTATATAAGTTAACACTATTTTTATTCCGCGCCTGTTTTACCGTAGGTGTGTATGACGAGCCTGAGTGTAGTCAAACCAACTTAGATCACGCTGTATTGGCTGTTGGCTATGGCACATCTGAGGAAGGTCTGGATTACTGGATTGTGAAAAACAGGTAGATTAACTCATATGTGCCTCTCGCACACCCTCTCATTCTCTTCGTCATGTATTTAAACTGATCATGTTGAACTCGGCACGTGTGTTTGTGTGACGAGACTGGATTTGTGGAAACTGATTATTGAAAGTACGAAGGCCGTTTGGTGCCGGACATAAACGGAAAAAAATAATAGTGCAGTGCATGTTGCAATTGTATCGCTATATAGCCATAAATATTCATTATTCTAATTATCTTTTACTCACGGTAGTTGGAGTACTGGATGGGGCATGCAAGGTTACATTGAAATGTCGAGAAATAAAGACAACCAGTGCGGTATTGCCAGCAAGGCTAGCTACCCCGTGGTTTAAAATCGAAGAAGCGCCACCAGTGTCCGAAACGGGTAATGCACATTTCTATTACCATGGTCGTATGATTGACTTTAACTGTAGTTGGGAAGAAAAGAAAATAGCCATTCATACATTTTCTCCTTCTTCTTTTCAGTCACCGATGTCCTAGAATAACATATCAATTTCTCCAGATCAAAATTACTTGCATTATAATCTGAGCGTATTTACATATATATGCAGTGCAGTCATTGAACAAACATTTTTTGTTTTGTTTTTTAAAGTCTTTTATGTAATAAAAATTACATATTTATATATCGTTGCATGATGTTCCCGGTTGCATTTCGCTGATTCCCGGTGTTTTTTGCATAGACAGATTTGAATGCAAGGATGCGAATATAAAAACTAGTTTGATCGATGATGGCGCTTTTCTGCATTGACATCCGCCGAGTGCAACTAACCTTCGTTTCTAAATTTCCTATTTTTTTCTTTTAAACATTAAATTTCGAAAGTGTAATAAATAATATTTGCTTTCATTAAAGTTTAACATTTTTTTCTTTTTTTTTGCCCATTATAGTGTTTACTTTACGCACGACACGTTCACTGTAAAGCCTACTTAGTAAGAAATATTTGTGACAACTTAATAACGTGTCATCCATGATTGTTCTGCTTTAGATTCAACTCACCAGCCAACGTGGTCTCCATTCACCATAACTAGTACGTGATTTAGAAAACAAACATTAGCGCACTCTTACCTCACGGTTAAATTCAATCCCCAAAACCCACACGAAGTACGAGACACTAACAAACATGCACTGGAAACTAAATGAACCAGCATTCTGTTCGAGGATGTGTTTTTCAGCAAATAACGACAATACTGCACATTCATTGACGTTAATATGATTTCAAATGGTACTACTAAGAACCACCGTATTTCTTGAGTCAACCCCAATACACCACAAGAGAACTGGTGATGGTTGTAGAACCATAACTGCCTCAGCTCAAAGACTGTTATGTAATACAAGGGAATGTAAAGGGAAATGTATTGTAGTATTACCTCTGTGTAATTTACAATATATCCGCATTAACCTTCACTATTAAGGACAATATGGGAGTAGAAGCAAGGCTACGCAAATTTGCGAAATAGTAGTTAGTTAGAATTACCAGACATTGTGGGATATAAAGAAGTGGCATATTAACCCAACAAACATACTCGCACATATCCATACATGTCTTATTGTGTGGGGGAAAGCTGTCAT